GACTTTGCACCAGCCTGGCGTCTCATCCCACCTGGGCTGCTACCCATACAAAAGCATCTGTGTGGCACCCGACGGGGGGGACAGCCCAGCATCGGGCACCAGCATTGGTGGGTTGGCATGTTCTTTTGCCTTGCCAACAACTGCTTTAAATGTGTGTGTGAGAAAATATTAGCTGACATAGTGCTGTGGAGTGTTCAGAGTGCTTCATGGATTTGCTTATCAGATGTACAACGTGGAGGAGTGGTAGAACACCAGCTTTGCAAGCAGGTCCCACGTTCAGTCCCCCTAGTTAAAGTCAGTCTCCAGTTAAAGGAACTCTGGTAGTAGGGGATGTGAAAGACCTGAGACCCTGGAGAGCTGCTGCTGCTGCTAACAGTAGACAAGATTGATCTAGATAGACCAAGGGTCTGAGATGATCTAAGGCCACTTCAGGACTCTACCAATTCATTCTCCAGCATGTGGAAACCAGGCCTTGGCTGTTCTTTGTAGCCAGCTGGGTGGGTCTGACCTATTGCAAAAGAGGATGGAAGCCAGGCTGTGGGAGGGAGGAGATCCTGTTTCTCCTTGTGGCTTGTCTCAACATGCTTGAATTACTTCCAGGAAGGTAAGCTGCACCCAAAGATTCACCTGCTTCCCCCAGCTTTGGAGTGAGGGCTGGCAAATTGCCTCCTTTTTTCCTTCTGAGAAGCTCCATGGACAATAAAAATGTCTCCGTTATCTTGAGAGCTTTATTACTAGACAAGTAAAATGCCACCAGATGTTGGGAAGAAGTACAGAGTATTTACATGATTTCCAAGACTATTTTTTCCCCATAGTGAGAGATGAGTTGCTGTGCATATGAATAGGTCTGGATTATGGGTGGAGACCATAGTTGCTCATCTGACAAAAGGCACTGATGGCTGTCTGAAGCAGGGGAAAAGGACACTCCTCTTTGTAGCTCCTAGTAGGGGGGAGGCATTTTGTATACATGCCCCCATGTGAAACCCTGCAGGTCCCTTGAACAGTTCTACTAACTTTTGCTTGATCTTGGCTCCCTAAGGAGAGGGGCTTATCCTTTTCTCCCATGTGAGCAAAACAGTAGGAGATCCGTGTGTGTGATTTTGAAGCAGATAAGCAGGGGCAAGAAAAGCAATCCTGATATAACAGCATTGGGCCCTTTACATGCTTGTGTGAACTGGGCTCTCCCAACTGGGAGTGTTTCGCTTACAGCTTTTCCCGTACTTTTCCTCTTGCAGTGGTTTGGTTACTATCGTAGTGGCCAAGCCAAGGAAACCATCCCCTTGAACGAGACTTCACTGTACACAGAGGTAACTATTTTGAGCAGTATGGATAGGAATGTTTCTTTTTCTCTATATAGAATTTGCAGCTGAGCCCTAAATATCAAAGTGCAGGTCCCCATTCTTTTTGCAACTGTCCAAAGTTCTCTTGCATATCCTGATTTTTCTGATCACAGTCTGTTATGGCCCAGGAAGGTAAGGAGCAACATTGCTTTGCAACACACTGTCAGGGTCTGAAATACTGTCAGGGAGTGAGGCAACTCAAGGTAGGGTGGCAGAGATCAGGAAGGTGCGCTGAGCCCAAAGGAAGTCCAGAGAGAAAGGAAAAGATCTTCTGTACCATTGAGAACTTCTAACTACTGGATGCCCCCACTTTCTCTGAACTGAGAAGTTGAAACCATTATTCTTCTTTTAAAAAAATCAATACCTTAAACTTGGTTTTCTCAGGCCTGAATATGCTTGGGGTGGTGACTTGGGTCACTGCAGCTCCCCAGACTTTTCTGTATAAATGAAACCTATCCCAGCTGAACGACAGCTGTTTCCCCTTAATTGTAGGTGAATGTGTCATTTAGCACTCAGAAACTTGTCATTTCTCTAAACTACATTTCCTGGAGTGTTTGGAGGCGAAGCCACAGTTCTCAGACTGTTAAGCCAGTTTTTGATGGTCAAGAAGATGCTTTGACTAGAGCAGTTCCACTTTGGAGTGCATTTTAATCTTTCTGTTTAGCAAGGGAAGTGTCTTTGCCCGTGGAAGACACTGGTGAACTTTAGACACTGTGCAAAACTATGGTTTATTTAAACTAACTTTGGTTTGCAGAACTACCTGTCTGAATACAGTCCACTGATTAGTTTGGGTCAGTTGAACCTAGAGTTGCCAAGTGCGTTTTTCTTCGCGGCGGGGGGCTCCCAGCTGGCGTCCCGAGCGCGCACATGCGCATCACCCGGATGTGTGACGTGCTGACGCCGGGCACGCTGGGGGCGGGGCCACAGCCATCTGAGGGGAAAACAAGAGTTTCCCCTGCATTTGTTGAGGCAAACATCTGTAAGATGAACTTTGGTCAAAATAAGGCCAGATCGATTCTGCATGTAGCTTTTCTGGTTAAGAGATTCCCCACCCCACCCCTTACACTTTTGAGTGTTCTTTGTTTAGGATCGTTTGGGACTGAAAGAAATGGACCAAGCAGGGAAACTGGTGTATCTGGGAGCAAAAGGGGACCACCTCCACTTCTCCAAAGACTGGTTCTTCAAGAACATTTTGCCCTTCCTGCAGTGAAGCTGAGGCTTTGCTTTCCTACCAAGTCTAGTTGTCGGAACCCTCCTTCAGGACATCTTGACCTAGGTTGGCACTTGTTGCCTGTAACTGTTTGCCTGGAGGGGTGTGTGTGTGTTCTTACTAACCCAGATTCTGGTCTCATTCCAGGATTAACAACGCTCTCTAACCGAATGCCATTGCCCCCAGTAGCTTTCTTCCCATGCGACCTCTGTCAGCTCCTTCCTGCAAACAACTTCCCAGTAATTGTGGTTTAGGAGCCCGTATGGTTTCGATAGCCTTACCCTCACTTCTATTGAGATGGCCAAGTTAAAATATAATCAAAACATTATCTTTCAGTTTAACTGCATCAGTAATAAATAAAAACCTAGTTTTTCCTCTATGCCCGTTTTCCAAGGTGGGCAACTGGCAGAAGAACGCAACTCAGAATGCCGTTAGAACACATATAAGTCTGTGCACTTACTGGGAATGCTCTAGTGTAATTGCTAAGCCTCTGGCCAATTTCTCAGGGAGTAGAATTTTTCTTAAACACCACACAGTATTATGTTAAGCAGGAGCTGGGGGCTTAGCTGACCTTTTGGAGTAGGTGTTTTTGCTTGTTTGGGTTTCTCAGCAGCAACTGTACTGAAAATATAGCTCCAAATGCAGCCATATAGCTTATCTAGCAAGTGACTAGAAAGTGTTGCCCAGCATTTAACTGAAGCAAAGCTGGACAGCTTACTACATACAGCAATACTTTCAATCAGCTAAGGGGCAGTGGGTGTGGCAGTGTGGGTGTGTGCTGTGTAATTAAGGCATGCTGAGCTTTTTTGCATTGGAGAATTCATCACAATAAGCAAATGGAATGTGTCAGATGTTCAATTAAAAAGTTTCAACTAAGGTTTTGCCACTATGCTTTGTAATAGCTTCATGCAGAGAACACTACTTTTGCACAAGAGGTATACAAATGCATGTACTGCTAGTATATACTTGCATTTATTGCCCTACTGAAAATAAGGCCTTCTCAAAATGCCCTGGTTGTGGGTTATAGAACATGGAGTGTGCATGCCAAGATATAACAGGAGATTTGCATGAAGGTCTCAGGCTTGATCATTGGTAGATCAGGTGTTAAAAGGATCTTAGTAGGGAAGGGCTGCCTGGCTGAGCCACTGCCCCTCAGACTAGAAAATATGGAGTGAGTGGCCAGTGTTCTTCATATATTCCAATGAAGAAATGGAGACTTGTAGTCAAACAGAAACTTTCTGTTCTGCTCTCGCACTGGCACAACTGCTTAAAACAGCCATATAAACAAGCCAACTTTGTACTGCAGGGTCTGCTTACTGAAGCTGCACATAGCTGGAGATGGTACAGCATCTGCTTGGCATGCAGGAAGGCCCAGGTTCAGTTTGATGAGAGTCAGTTTGGTGTAGTGGTTAAGTGCGCGGACTCTAATCTGGGAGAACCGGGTTTGATTCCTCACTCCTCCACTTGCGCCTGGGTGGATGACTTTGGGCAAGCCGTAGTTCCGATAAGAGCTCTCCTTGAAAAAGAGCAGTTTCTGTCAAGAGCTCTCTCAGCCCCACCTACCTCACAGGGTGTCTGTTGTGAGGAGGGGAAGGGAAAGGAGTTTGTAAGCCGCTCTGAGACACCTTTGGGTAGTGAAGGGCGGGGTATAAATTCAATCTCTTCTCTTTTCTTCTTCTCTTCTTCCCCTGAGACCCACTGCCAGTCTGAGCAGACGTCTTCAGTGGACCAATTTTCTGATTCAGTGTAAGGCAAGCTTCACATATCTTCATGTGAGGTGGTAGAGAAATTCTTTTCTAAATGGAAGGGTTGTTCAAAAAGGGATGTGTAACCTAACTGCCTTCCTTAAAGCATAGCTTCCCTTACTTGTGTGTTATTTCCCTTATTCTGTCAAAGAAACAGGCAACTATTGGGGTAAAATGAAGCCTAACAATATTCCTGCAGAAGCTTTGCATCAGCTGTGCCCTATACTGGAATAAAATTCCATTAGCCCAGAGTTGCCCATCGGTGCCACGGCACACACTGAACTTTTCAGAAAGTGAGCAGGGCCATTGTAAGACAAGGTTTATTACAGGCTGTCCTCATTCAAATGAAACAGTTTTCTATTGGAGGATCAGGAGAAACTGGGAAGCACCTTGGCTTTCCTTAAGTCAATGTGTGTACTTCTAGTCCTTCAGGCCTTCCTTCTTCCCCAGGGGTGTGAGGGGGTAGGAATTACCCTGTGGCTCTACCTCCTCTGGAAGCCATTTTGGGTTTCGCAACCACCATCCCCTCTCAGAATTCGAAGTGCACTGCAGGCTCAAATAGGTTGGGGACCCCTCAGTCTGTAAGGTGCCCCTGGGCTTCTGTTTTGCACTAAGCCATAAGCTGTTTCTCTTTGCATCACCGGAGCAGCTTCTGCAGATGTCCCAATAAGAGTCACCATTTTAATGAGCAACTTGGTATTAACTTTATTCTATCTTCAGTATAATTTTTAAGTACATAAGAAAGGTTTCTTCTTTATTTTCACAAGCCTCGAGAGAGAAGTACAAGTCACAGGACAGTCTCAAAATAAGAAAAGATTGCATATCTTTTGGTAAGTTCCATTTCAGTGAAAAAAGTGAACTTATTAAATGTGGCAAGAAAGGAAATAAGATATGCTATCCAAGACACCAGGAGTCAAGCGCATAGGCAGCTAAACTCCCTTTTGTGGTCAATACAGTACTGTGCCTTCAGCACCTTAGCGCAACTCTTGCGGTGCCCCTGCTAACACGCAAACCTTCTGCACAAAGAAAAGTCAAGCAAAAAAAAGGAAGCAGACAGCCGGGGGTGTGTGTGTCTTCCAGCTTCTACAGTGTAAATTAATTTCAATTCACTACACAATGGATTGCAATGAACTTGTGCTTACAAATAATTAAATACTGGACTGGGAATGAACACTCAACCCTCTCTAGGTGCGAAAGAGGGGGCAGGTGTTGAGAAAAACCATCCTGGAAGGCTGAACATATGAGAATGTCCAGTTGCTCAGAAGAGGGCACCCTTTGGGTAGTTTTCACAGGGGGACTTGAATGGAAGAGGGTTAGTGGCAGCTTTCTAGCTGCTGGCCAGACACCTGGGAGGGGTGGTCTTGTGGCACCGGTAACCAAGAGGTCTCCCCAACATCATGGCACAACACAATTTTTTTCACACTGAGCACATAGGAAGAAAAAAAAATATCAGGGAGGAAGGAATGCTATACATCCCCTTTTTCAGCCTTTGGTCCAGCAAAGCCACTCCTGTAATCTTTTGAACACCCCTGATTAGAACAGAACTGCAAAATTTAGTTTGTTCCCTTGTAACTTCCCCCAAACACACCTGCTGGATATACTTTTAAATGTACACATCATGGGGGATGCGATACCCTGATACATGTTGTATTCTAAGAGGGAAAATAAAATCTCTCTTAAATGGAAGGGCCTCTGAAAGCCAACCACTGATACTGGCTCCAAAGTCAATGGGGCAAAAAAAGAAAGATCAGACAAATCAAGGTTGATTGGTGACGCAGTTTGGTCTGATGGGGTGATGGTGGTGGAATGCAACACCATCCCCAACTGATCAACCACCAGAATCAAACAGTCCTGCCGCACCCTACCTCAAATCCCAGCCTGAGGTAATTTTCAGTGAAGGCAGGTAGATGTCTCTCAGGTAGGACAGAAGCAGACTGACAGCAGGGGGCAAAATTACAGGAAATCGAGAGAAAAAAAATCCCCCAAAAGCAGATTTGTCCCATAGTGGTGGTGGGGTGAGGGGAGGGAGTCACATGCCTGGTCAGCTTATCCAGCTATTTCCGTCACCGTGGTGACTAGTTTCTGCCCATTCCACAGCGTCTTGAACTGCTCAGGGATCGGGAACTCGTTCTGAGGGAACAAAATTGTGGGAGTCAATACTGTTGATAGCTGTCTTGTATAGAGAAAAGAGGGTTAACAAGTATATGAAGTGTATGAAAGCAGTGTGGAGGCAGGACATCAGTAGTCTTTACAGTTAACTGCTGCTGCACAATATGGAAGATGTTCACACCAGGGTCACACCTTCATGAGGTTTTGGTCAAGGGAAGAATCCCATCAAAACAAATCAGGACAGACTGAAATATTTCACTAGAAACATCCACCATTTGTGGACTGCACTGGTTTAAAAGGGAATCAGATGAACCTCTCTGCCTATCTCCACAGCCATGATGGCTTAACAAGCCTCCACGTTCAGAGGCATTATATCCCAAGAATACTAGCTGCCAAAGAGTAAATAGAGGGCTGTTGGCTTCATGCCCTGTCATGAGCTTTCAAGGTACAGCTGGCTGTCTACTGTGGAAAAACAGGATACTGGATTAGATGCATCTTTGGTCTGATCCAAGCAGAGCTCTAATCTTCTGCTCCTAGATTATGTTTTATAAGAGGCCCCATTATGTGGTCTCAAGGAAGGTACCAACCAACTAGCAATGTTTTAAAATTTGATCTCCCCATTCCTAGGTGTGAATGTGTTAAAGTCTTCCATCACAAGCATGTAAGGATCTAGCCTTAGAGATCTGCCAAGATCCTTTATAACATAGTCTTCTGGGCTAACCTCTGTTTCAGATAGAGACTGCTGATTTAGCCAAAGGCCAATGATTGATTTCCATCCAGCTGGAAAGCTAGTGGAACCCCACTCACACACCTCCACGTGACTGGGGAAAAGACTTACAAAGTCGCCGCTGTCCGTGGGAATGAGAACGTTCATCTCTGAAGACTTGGCACTGACAATCTCGCAGTCTAGGGAGTTCTTGCTCAGGTAAACGTGACACCCATCCGTCTTGTTGATGGATATAGTTGGCACTTTACCCAGTACCTAGCAAGGGTAGTAAGAATCGTTAGAGCTTTCTGGAGTGGAGAACCAAAGGACAACAGCATATAAGGATCTCAGGATCGTTTATCGTAAAGCCCAAATGGCTGTTTCACGTCCCCATTCTAGGGACTGAGTGCTGGGATGTGCATTACCTGTACTTGGACGTCCCGGCTGTTTATAATCTCAACAATGCCCACGACGTCATCAAACACCAGTCCCAGCTTCTTGCAGTTATCTGCAGAAAGGGGGGAAAAGGCAGAGGAAACATTGTTATGTTGTCTTACAGCCCTAGCATGGCTCCTTAAGCCAAAGTGCTTAACCATGGTCCTTATTCTAGCAGAAATAAAGGGGTAATACGAGCTTTACCGCTACTGGTGACGGGAAAAGAACCAGCAGTGTGCCACACCCAAGTTGATCATGACAATTCTCCCTTATTGTGTAGAAGGGGCTGCGCTCTGCCCTTTTAAAACATGGACTGGGAACCAATCCTCCCACCCCATTCAAGCCTCACCACAGTCATGAATTCACTGAACAACTGTTAGGCAAGTCCACCAGCTCAGTGCCTCCAACTGATATACGAGATTGCTGGGCTCCTACAGAACTCTCATAGTAATTCCCAGGATGATGAGCACCTTGAGTGCTTGGGAGAACTAAGAAAACTTAAGCCTGCTGACTTCAAGGGACTTCGGTGCTCCCAAACACCATGCTGTTGATACACTTGTGGAGAGAGCAAAGAGATCCACAGCAGCAACCCTCAAGGCTCCCAGAGTTCACAAGGGGTTTGCATATCGTTGCTGCCATCGAAGGGTCTGTCAGCACAGGGATTCTGCAACATGTGAAGCAGTCCAGAGAACACATGGCAGGTGGGCTGCTGCTTGCCTTGTACCTGATGAGGGTGATTGCTACACCACCCCTTCTTGCCCCCCACAACAGTGAATAAAGTCAGCCCTTGGAAACTTGGTGTTTTGTTTTTTTTAATCAGCATCATTTCCCAACATTTTTGAACTCGAAAGAGGTTCCCCCCCCAACAATCTCCTTCCTTCAAATCACCCTTCCTCCATCTCCATTCCTAAATGCAACCCTAGAAGGTAGCCCAGGCATTTGCTCCCATTCTATGGTCAGTATCAGATTCTGAGGGTCAAATGAGACATTATGGCAGCCACAAGTTCAGCCTGTGGCCACCAATACCATTATAAGAAAGAATATGACCACTCAACAAGTGTCACAAGGGTCCAATCCTGATGGGGGCTCATGGCAGGAGGCAATTTTGTCCCCACTTGTGCCTTTTGAAATGACCAAACAGCTCCCCCCTACAGCTGTTTTGGTACTTAAAAAGGCACTGGAGGTCACCTGAGCACCCCACACCATGGATACAATCAGGTTTAGGTCCCAATTCTTCCCTAAAATGGCTTTGGCTGCCACAGGTCAAATCCATGGCTGCCAGAACATCTAGTTGGCCCCTAAAAGCTTCCAGGGAGCACAGATCTGTTTTTTTCTACTAAAGCTTCCTGTTGGAGTCTTGTAAGGCAATGTTTGTTTACATTATTTATAGATTCAGGTGGGTAGCCGTGTTGGTCTGAAGCAGCAGAACAAAGTTTTAGTCCAATGACACCTTTAAGACCAACAAAATTTTATTCAAGGTATAAGTTTTTGTGTGCAAGCACACTTAAGAACATAAGAGAAGCCAATGTTGGATCAGGCCAATGGCCCATCCAGTCCAACACTGTCACACAGTGGCCAAAAATACCAGGTGCCATCAGGAGGTCCATCAGTGGGGCCAGGACACTAGAGGCCCTCCCACTGTTGCCCCCCCCCCAAGAATACAGAGCATCACTTGCCCCAGACCCAGAGTTCCTATCTATCCCTTGTGGCTAATATACCTCTGCTCCATATGCTTATCCAGTACCCTCTTGACGCCGTCCGTGCTTGTAGCCGCCACCACCTCCTGTGGCAGTGAATTCCATCTGTTAGTCACTCTTTGGGTGAAGTAGTACTTCCTTTTATCTGTTCTAACCCGACTGCTCAGCAATTTCACTGAGTGCCCACGAATTCTTGTATTGTTTTTCAGAAGATTCTTTCCACGGCCACACGAAAGCTCATACCTTGCATAAAATGTTGTTGGTCTTAAAGGTGCCACTGGACTTAAACTTTGTTCTACATTATTTATAGTTTGTCTTTCCCACTGGGATTCAAGGTGGATTACTATGTTTGTGCTGTGTCTTCCTTCCAAGGAGGGTGGCCAGCCCTCCAAGTGGGGCTTGGAGTTCTCCCAAGAATTGTAACTGATTTCCAGACTACAGAGATCAGCTCCCCTGGAGGAAATGGTGGCTTTGGCGGACAAACTCTATGGCATCGGACCCCATAGAACTCCCTCCCCAAACTGTGCCTTCTCAAGGCATCATACCAAAATGCCTAGGATTTAGCAATCTGAAGTTGGCAACCCTACTTCCAATCCAAATAAGAAACACCACGTACACTAATTCCGAACGTTGAGGTCAAGACTTTATCAAAATGTAGCAAAAGGGGCTGGATACTTTTAGTTGCTTCTCACCCATCAAGTGGGTAACCCTTTTTTGTCAGTGGTGCACATATGTAGAAACCAGCCCACCAGGTTCAGGATATATGAGAGGAACTTGCTATTGTGCACTTCCCCTTGTTCCCCTAGAGAAGGGACTCTGGAGCGCCTGCCTGTCTGCCCTCAAGCAGCACACATCCTTCCCCCTTCCTACCTCATACACCAGTTTACAAGCTGATAGGGAACCTACCCAGCGTGATGGAGTTGATCTTGCCTTTGACACGGAGTGTACTGTTCATGCACTTATAGACGTAGGCCACCTGCTTCAGTTCAGTGTCACTGATTACCAAGTTGGAGGCACCCTCATGGTTTTCCTAAAGCAGGGAAGGGAAGGAGGCTGCTCATTGTCACATCCCTCAGGAGACAACTAATAATCGCAGATACATCACAAAAGGTTTGTACCAAGACAGACCCCTCCCTCCCTCGTCATCAAAGGGCAAGCAAACTGCCTATCATTCAAAAAGCACAAGCGCGTGCACACACACTGGTTATAAGCCTTGGCCCTTTTCCCATTCCACACCCCACACTTCAGCCACATCTCTTTAGTTGATCTCCCCCCCCAAGCCCATTTCGCTGTGCAGTCCCCTCCGTCACCCAAAATCATGAACTCAAAGCATTCATGCAAATGCCTCCACATATCTGAAGGCCTTCCTGCTGGGCAAGGTCAACTTCATGGGAGACCGACCAGTGGCGAAAGGGTTCAGGCCTTAAACGAGACCAACACAGAAGCCTGAGAATATATATATACCTGAGAGCCAGGAAAGAAGAGGCAGAGGGTTGCACCCAACCCTGTACTGAACACACCAAAGTTCTGCACAAAGACAAGCTGGATTCTGCTTCACATATGCATTATGTAAATTGAGAATGCATGCAAGATTATTGCTGCTGCCACACATTGTGGGGGAAAGAATCGGCCAGACATTGTAGGGTGTGCCATCAACTAGAAGCCTATTTTGCAGCTGCAACTCATGCTTCTGAGAGATCACTAGATGTGCACCCACAACCTATCTAAATTGCCAGGAGGGCTAGATGCCAAGGCCTCCGCAGATCACTCACCACTCTCCATTTTTTGCCTTCCAGCTCCAGGACAGGAGGGTCCTTCCTTAGGGGCTGTTTCTGGGAGGGACTGATAGCAGAGGAAGGCTTTGGAGCTGTGAAGGGTTTTGGTCCTGTCCTCACTGGGCCACCTGGATTCTTCAGCGCTGGGTTCTTGTGAGTCTTCATGTCATCAGGCACATGCTTCAAACCTAGGAAACATATTGCCATGAGCTTCCAGGACTGGATCTTAAAAGTGCTGGACAGCAAAGCCGACACTCTCTGTAGGAATCCAGCCCTTACAGTGGAAATCCTGCTTCATGCCTGCACATTCCCCAGAAACCCTCACATGGCTGGGCCTTCTGGTGTTACCTGAGGAATAAAGGGAAGAAACTGTGTTGCAGCTTCTCCCCGCATAAGAGCTTTCCATTGCCAATTTCACTGTAGAACTGCCCAAGACAGGTCCTTAAGAATTTGTATGCTCTCAATGAAGTCTGCAGCTTTTTCCTGCTTGAAACTTTATAAGCGGTGTTGCCTGGCAGGCTCAAGCTAGTTTAAAAAGGCATTACTAGTACAATTGTTTTTTGTTTAAAAACAATATAAAATTCAAAACAGGTAGTGTAAACATCCCAACCACCCACTAATGCACACGTTTTCTAAAGACCTAGGACAGGCCTTATATGGCATTCCACTATGTTGGAAGTGTGGGTGCTATTTTAGTTAAGGGGCTGCATAAACCAGATATGCAAAAAGACAGATTTAAACAAAAAAGGAGGGACAGCCACAGAAAATAAAGGTGTGTCCAGCTCCTGCTGTTTTTTTTGCTGAACCAGGCAGCCATCCAGAGGGCTATTACAGGAAGCATCAAGGAACAGCCAGCAATGTAGGTTTCCCAGAAAAAAATCCAATTTAAAGTTTCCCAGAAAGCGTTCTAGTGAGATCTGATTTAGCAAGTTTATTCTGACTTCTGTTTATCAACAAAACTTACAGGATGCCCCATGAGAATGTTATATTCCAATAGCAATATATACTTCAACTGAAATATTTAAGGGGAAAAAAATAAAGGGTGGTTTTCAATCGTGTTCAAGCAAATGCAAAATTTTATGTTGAAGTTACCTTTCTTGGAATACTACACTCACAACTCCTAGGAATAATGTCACCTGAAGAGCCTGAATTTAAAAATTTGAAATTGCCACCTATTTCTTAAGATTTAAAAGCTGGCTATACTACTGATGGAATGCTCCCCAAATAGTCTCATTCGTACCACAGCCTTCCCTTACATCCAGGAAGAGAGCTAATGCTCCAAATGGCATATTATAGGATCCAATACAATTTATCCATGTATTTCTTTGGTCATTTTATGGGCATTGTGCTTCAACTTTTAGTGCACTCGAATTGCTACTCATTCCCTCTGGGAACAAATGGAATATCTGCAGAACTAGCTGCTCAAGTTTTCACACAGATGAAGTTTTTAGAAGCAGGCTCAAGGTCCAAACAGTTCAGCAGATGTTCCATTTGCACCCAGAGGGAATGAGTAGCAATTCTAGGGCCCACTGACTGCACTGTAGTGTAAAAGACAAGTTCCCAGCTGAACCCTCTGCACGTTCTGAAAACAGACACGGCAGCTGCATTTGTTGCCCAAGCACAGGACTCCCCCTAATTAATAGATCTCTCAAAGGACAACAGGAGGAGGAAAAAGAGCTAATTGGCTTATGGCAGCAGCTCCTTAACACTGCTGGGGGGTTTGCAGTTCTTTCGTTCCTAGAACACACAGCAAGCATCCCCCCTCCCACATTGCTCCACCCCTCTAGAGCTGGAGGCAATATAAAATTTGGAGCATCACCCCCCCACTCTCTGATCCCACAGAATCAAGCTTCCCCACTCCCTCAACCACTACAGTTCCCAGAACTCAAATTCCTTCCACCTATATTAACATTATGCCTTCTAACTGTGCAGTTGCCACCCTGTCACACACACCAGTCAAAACTGTCAGTTATGCTGCCATTGTGGATGGTGGAGGTGGTTGATTTGTGTCTTCTTTCAGGTCTGGTACGCATGGTTTCAATTCTCAGTATTCCTTTTATCGCTGTTTGACCTTGGTGTCTGCTGCACTGCTTTCCCTTGGAATGTGAACCTGTTAGTTTTAGGCGCCCAAAGGCTTCTTCCCAGATTGGCTTTGAGCCATCAGGAGACCCCGCTTTGAACCAAGTATAATTGACCCTTTCCTGCTTTTTGAATTAGTTCTGACACTGAACATTTATGGATCACTTACCTATACTGGAACAATAAACTGAAACTTCATTGAAAGCCTGTTGTTGATTCCTGATTGCTGCAAGACTCTGATAAAAACCTCCTTACTTACCCCTTTTGCATTCACATAAGCCATGCATGCACATCTTTGCTTGTTTGGCACATCAATCTGACACAGTGAGGGCTTTAACTAAGGGTCCACAGTAATCAAAGAATTAGCTTGAACCAGGGTTTAAAGCAAGCTGCGACCTGGACATGCAACAGATGCAACATTTTGTAAAGTTCAAATATGTCCAAATCCACTAGAAGGAGCTTTCTTCAACTGGAGGAAAGCACCTCTGCCAGTGAAATGGATCTGTGGGACTCAACCCTGAGTCTACTCCCAACTCTGTCGCTAAGTTGCGTGAGCTGGCCACAAACAACAGCTGGGAAACAAGATGTGAACACATCTCCCTCGCAGAACCTCAGGAATAAACCACAGAGCCAGAGCGGCCAGTGATAAAACTACAGGTGTAAATGCACCAGCAAGACTGAAAAAATGACTCAAAGCTGCACATGCTACCTCCCTTAACACCACTGTTTGAAACCAACTACACATTTTCCAAGCTCAGAAGACTGTAATTCATATGCTAAGCAAGCTTGTCTAGATCACTCCCCCTGCTACACCCCCCCCCCCATTACCTACCAGAAGTGATGGCTTCTCCTTGGTTGATCTGGGCAAAAAGCGCAGAGCGAGACGTAGGGTCATCCCCACCAGAATTTGTGGAGGTAGTAGGTGGAGGAGGTGGAGGAGGTGGAGGCCCAGAGAACCGTGGTGGGCCGCCACAAGGAGGAGGGGAAGGAGTTGGAGACCCCCCCTCAGTTGCTATAGGTCCCTGGGGGAAAGGAAAAAAAAGAGAACCCAGGAATTTCAAAACAGTATGCGTAACAGAGGAGCCTGATAGTCCAGTCTAGCTCAATTTCATCACTACTAAGAAGGGCTGACCATGGTTGGTACCTGGATGAGAGACCTCCAAAGAAGACTGAGATTGTTATGCAGAGGAAGCCACCTCTGCTTCTTGCCTTGAAAGCCCTTTGTGTTGGCATTGCCATGAGTCAGTTGCAACTTGATAGCACACAATTACGAAGAACAGAGTCCCGGAGCATATTCAAGGCGAGCAGATTTATTGTGGCATAGGCTTTTATGAGTTAGAGCAGGGGGCTGCAATCTATGGTTCCAAATGCACAGAACCAAATATGGCTTGTTTAAAAAAAAAAATCTGTGGGTTCAGGAATATTGGGAGGTGGGGTAGGTGAGACGCTAGAATGATTAACCAGAATGATAGGGAAAGATTGTTCGTGGACAAAAGGGTTTCTTTGAGATGCTTCAGGAAAGGGAAATGATAGACAAGAACAGTTGCCAGGAATGCAAGTATAACCCATATGCAGATTTAAGCCAGTGTTCTAAAGCAACTCCATAGAGCGCTCCTATATATATATTGGGCTTACTATGAGAACTCACATGTGTCACTTCCTAATAAAGGACTCACAACAACCAGTACTTGGACTGCAGAAACATTCATGGATTATCAACAAATACATCAATTATCAGCTCCGCAAAGCTGCAAGCTTTCAATTACTTCAATAAGCACTCGCTGCAACAGAGTGGTCCTATGAAGACACACACACACACTATCATGTCCTGCCACAATGTTCAGCTGGCACTCACCGTTTTGCTCCAGGTCAGCCCAGTGGTGTGATGCTCCTTAATGTATGCCTGCAGCTCTGTCCAGATGCTCAGATAAGCCTTCACCCAGTCTACATGCTTCTTATCTCTAGGAGAAAGAGAAGCCAGGCAAACTAATTGGTTCAGGTAAGGGGGGGGGGATACCTGAAACTCTGCCTGAAACTGAAACCTTGGATTTCCTACTCCCTAGTTTGCAGATGGGACTCTGTACAGCTTAACTATTCCGACCACTGCAACAATGAAACTCATTAGCCCACCAACACAAACATGTCCTGTTCAAATTCATTTGTTTCTACCCTGTCACCATCCAACTCTTTCACCTTCAGACTTAGCAGAAGGGTATTCCACTACCACTGGACTTCTTGCATTTTTATAAAGGGAATATGACTGTATTAAAATTGGAATTGTTCGGTATGCTTTTACAAATAGGCAGGGCTTGTAGTTGCTGTACACATCTATTGTTTACTGCACAGTTTTCTGATTTCTGTAATTCAGTTTTCAAATTTCTTATGTCTTTGTAAACCAACCTCATTACAATATTATCTCATACTATTCCTATCGCATTGGTAAATGTTGTAATCTGACTTGAGCCTCAGCAAAAAAGGCAGACTATAAATAAATACAGCAAACTCTAGTTTGACACTGTAGTTAGGGACTCACTACCTAGGCTATGAAAGGTATTACAAGAGTGAACTCCAACCCCTGGGAACAGAAGCCCAGCAGACAACCTGGCCATAACACCAATAGTCATTCCCACCAATTTGAGGCATTTCCAGCCTCATGTTTTGTTTTTTAAAGGAAAGCCAAACACCTTCCAAACTTACACGTCTTTGTATTCCTTGAGGACACGATTGCTATAAAACATGGCTGCATCTGTCATCTCCTTCACATAAGGACCTGGTTTGGGGGACTACAAGAAGAGAATGCAACATCAGAACATGAATTCTGAAACTTTACCCTAACCCTAGCCTATGCGCATGAGTTCAGAGCAAACCTGTACTGGTTTTGTACCAACGGTTCTGGCTGGCTGTTCCCACAAAGAATCCTGGGAATTGTAGTTTGGAGGCTTCTACTAGGAGATCCCCTCACATAACTACAGTTCCCAGGGGAAAATGACCTGAACTGATTTAAATCCACAGAATAACATCCTGTTAAAAAGGTTAGTCCCATCAGTCCTCAATAATAGAACATAGGATCCCAGATCACCGCAGCCTGTGACAGCAGCCATGAAATTAAAAGACGCCTGCTCCTTGGGAGGAAAGCGATGGCGAAGCTAAACAGCATGATAAAAAGTAGAGACATCACCCTGCCAACAAAAGTCTGCATGGTCAAAGCAATGGTATTCCCAGTAGTCATGTATGGCTGCGAGAGTTGGAGTATAAGGAAGGCCGAGCGCCGAAGAATAGATTCTTTTGAACTATGGTGCTGGAGAAGACTCTTGAGAGTCCCTCGGACTGCAAGAAGATCAAATCAGTCAATCCTAAAAGAAATCAACCCTGACTGTTCCCTGGAAGGCCAGATAATGAATCTGAAGCTCAAATACTTTGGCCACCCAATGAGAAGGGAGCACTCCCTGGAGAAGACCCTGATGCTGGGAAAGATTGAAGGTCAAAGAAGACGGGGACGGCAAAGGATGAGATGTTTAGACAGTGTCATAGATGCAACGAACATGAAATTGAGCAAACTTCAGAGGATGGCGGAAGACAGGAGGGCCTGGCGTGATCTTGTCCATGGGGTCGCAAAGAGTCGGACTCGACTGTGCGACTGAACAACAAAAACCAGAGTGGGAGAGTATGCAGCCCATAGGGCCATACAGTATTCACCTCCCAGTGGGTGCATGTAGCCAGGAAGTGCTACATTTTAAAACTATGTGCACCCAGTGGGAAGTGAATACTGTATGGAGTCATGTGCTGCAAACCCCCACTCTCTGCTAGTATGCTCTAGTGCTTCTTTGTGCCGGAGAGGCCGGCTCACCCTTTGAGAATCCAGCTCTGAACAATGTGGGGTCTTGGATGGAAAGGGCCCCAGCTCTCAAACCCTTACCATGGCAACCCAGCCTAGCGCAGGGATGCTCTCACTAACTGCCGAGAGGTGATTGAACAGTTTGCTGCCACGGTTCTTCTCCCGGAAGCTCTGGACCACCTGGATCCGATCTGAGATTGGCTTCAGCAGGGATGAGAAATTGTTCTGCAATGGAAAGTTATTTCAGAAATTAAGCCTAACCATATACTTACGGATATTCTTTCCCTGTGTTTCTCCCCCCCCCCCCATTTAGAGCTGATACTATTGGTGTACAGATTCTTATGCCACACAGGACCACACCCATGACTTAAAACCAGAGGTGGAACATCAACCACATCACTCAGATTCAGAGAACTTCTAGTGCTGTTGCAGGGTGAGGTGTTCTAGGTAGAGCATCACAATAGTTTCCAACAAAGGCAGCTACCCACTGCATCTGTGCATGAGTCACTGCTCTGCTATGCCCTCCTCCCACAAGCTCAGAGCAAGGAATTCTGTCCCATGTTTGCTTCAGGTGGGGTTGAAACAGTCAGTCATTCCTAGCACAGAGATACAATAGAAGGACCTGCCCTCAGGAAAGGCTACCTGCTGCATCTCCGCATGAGCCAGTATTCTGGACTTTTGTTCTGACTGGAAGCCATGCCAAGAATGGTGACTCACAAAGACACACAGGAGCAGCGTGGGAGGGGACAACACTTCTCTAAGGGAAAGTGAACATAAATACTCTAAAAGAAGATGCCCCTTATGGTCTAAGGGCACTTAGCTTCTAATTTTAATCCATAAAAAGCATACCCCAGCTAGCAAATAATTGGGAAACAGAAGGGATAGGGGTGGTATCTGTGCAGTGGTTAGAGTGTTAGACTAGGACCTAGGAGACCCAAATTTGAATCCGCACTCTGCCACAGAAGGCTGCTAGGTGACCTTGGACTAGTCACACAGCCACACCTACCTCACAAAGTTGTTAGGATAAAATGGAGAAGGGGAAAATACTGAAAGCCAGTTTGGGTTCCCACTGGGACGAAAGGTGGGGCATAGATGAACTGCATAAGAAGTAAATATCTGCACAACCAAGCTGATATATATTGTGCGGGCTGGAATCCTGTGACCCAGCCAGAAACTCAGCTGCCCCTCCCTAATCCAAAAATTACCTTTCTGGGCTAAGACTAATGACCCAATGAATATCATACTATCTAGTAAATCATGCTCAGCACTGACTTAAAATCTGGGCTTTGGCATTCTGGAGAACAATGCTTGGCTTGAAGATGATGGTATTATGACACTGAAGGCATTCTTCGGAGGAGAAAGAGTGCCCCCACCCCTCACTTTGCAGTTACCCTTGAACACCACAGGTTTCTCCACACTTACTGCTGTTGGTTGCTGGCATTGAGACGCTGTTACCAGGAGTGCTCGCTCCGTCATCAAACCTGAGTGGACCATCTCAGCCTTCAAGAGAAAGAAAAGTATACATGACAGTTACAGGGAATGGTTTTGCATTAAGAGAACAGTCAACAGGGGATTGGGATGCACACATCTATATATGATCAGTGACATTTCAACTGTCGTTATAGTCCAAAGATGAAATCCATAAGTAAAAAATCAGAACAAAGCCTGCACACACTATGAATGAAGACCACTGGGCAACAACTGGACATACCATGGCAACTGATGGTCCCTTCATACTCTAAAAAAACCCATGTCTGTCTTCAGCATCAGTTTGGTGGTACTCTCCAATCTAGGTTTTTTAAGCATTTCAAGCACACACTCTTCAATAAAGAAGCCTGGGGCTTACATGTTTCTGGACATCGCCACCAATTTCTATGCTTATCTTCATGTATTCAGCTACTGGACCAGCCAAGAGAGAGTCAAAAGCTTGCACATACTCAGCTACTCCTGTAATGGGAAACAAAACAAGGCTAGGAGGAGAAGTGTAGAGAGAGCAGCTGGACTTGGCCTGAAGCGTCTGCAAATAATATTCACAATAAGCATCCCACCACAATAATTTGCATGAAGCATTAGAGTTATCAGAATCATCTGAGAACTGAAGACTGTTGCCACTTGAGAATTGTTGCTTCTTTTTTAAAAAGCAAGCAGTTGGGTTCCGGGGGGGGGGAAGGGGGGAGACTAGCCATTGGCAGCTGCATGCCAACAGCCAATGCGCTAAGCCGTCTCTTACTGTTCTGAGAGCCTCCTCCGTAGTTGCCGTGTGCACCAGCTGGCACTGAGACGCTGTTACCAGGAGTGCTCGCTCCGTCATCAAACCTGAGTGGACCATCTCAGCCTTCAAGAGAAAGAAAAGTATACATGACAGTTACAGGGAATGGTTTTACATTAAGAGAACAGTCAACAGGGGATTGGGATGCACACATCTATATATGATCAGTGACATTTCAACTGTCGTTATAGTCCAAAGATGAAATCCATAAGTAAAAAATCAGAACAAAGCCTGCACACACTATGAATGAAGACCACTGGGCAACAACTGGACATACCATGGCAACTGATGGTCCCTTCATACTCTAAAAAAACCCATGTCTGTCTTCAGCATCAGTTTGGTGGTACTCTCCAGTCTAGGTTTTTTAAGCATTTCAAGCACACACTCTTCAATAAAGAAGCCTGGGGCTTACATGTTTCTGGACATCGCCACCAATTTCTATGCTTATCTTCATGTATTCAGCTACTGGACCAGCCAAGAGAGAGTCAAAAGCTTGCACATACTCAGCTACTCCTGTAATGGGAAACAAAACAAGGCTAGGAGGGGAAGTGTAGAGAGAGCAGCTGGACTTGGCCTGAAGCGTCTGCAAATAATATTCACAATAAGCATCCCACCACAATAATTTGGAGGAAGCATTGGAGTTATCAGAATCATCTGAGAACGGAGACTGTTGCCACTTGAGAACTATTGCTTCTTTTTTAAAAAGCAAGGAGTTGGGTTCCCGGGGGGGACGGGGACTAGCCATTGGCCGCTGCATGCCAACAGCCAATGCGCTAAGCGGGCGTCTCTTACTGTTCTGAGCGCCTCCTCCGTAGTTGCCGTGTGCACCAGGGCCATGGGACACCATCTCCAAGCGCCCCACAGCCTTCTCCAACCGTTCTACTAGGGTCTGCAGGTCTGTCATCTCTTACTACCTGTTGAGGCAAACCACACATTAAGGAGCGGGGTGGAAGCTGAGGCAGCCAGTATGTACACAGATTTAATACAAGGGCCAGCATATACCAATTAGAGGCCAAATGTTAGACTTAAGCCTGGAACAGGTGACTGTCTTTCCCCTGGCTCACTGTGGTAATGCCAGAAACTAGGGCTCCCAGGCAGAAGTCCAACAATTTCTCTGAACTGCGAGCTAGAATAGTCTTGGGATTTTGGCAGGCTACACTGGCAAGCACCAACGACACTAAGATCAGTGCCCTGTCCGTGACAGTTCTGATCCAAAAAGCATGGTCCTCCACGCTCCCTGGGAAACGAGACAGATGCTAATTTTAGTAATTACCACTTCCCAACACTCACTAAAGGAGCATGTTCATCTGCATGCACACGCATAAACAACTGAGTTCAGCCTTTGGGGATCTAAAGCCCCATAGCTTCACTTCAGCCACCAGCCGCCTTGTTTGTTCACAGGTGCTAGGTTTGACTTATGCCTTTCTATGAGGAGAGTGACACATGAGTGCAAAGCTCCACTGGCATGAGGCCAACTGATACACACCCAAGAGACCCTCACAGATCACTCCTGAAGTGTGCTCCCCCAATACAATTTCCCTCCTGCCTTTCCTTGTCAGTTTACCATGATGGTGGGTTAAATCCACTTCAACAGTAACAGCCTTGAAGTCTTCTTCGGCATTAATTGTGGCGCAGCATTATACCTGCACCCAAGTTAACACGTGGGGGGTGGGAAGGGGGGAGGAAGGAATACCTTCAGAAGAATGCAGGGAGCCAGATCTACAGCAGATTTGCAATGGCTAAGCCACGGTTAAGAGACCAGTGCTGCATCAGCATGAAGCGCAGGAGATCACAAAAGCCAGTTCAGCCCTTGGTCTTGTAGTATGAAAATACAGACGTGTTGGTTTGGGCTGCTGCTAGGACTCATAGTGGGAACCAGCCCTCAGAACCAGCCCTCAGCTGTTTGTATCCCAAGGTCTCCCCACTCCCTGAAACCTGGCAAATGATTGTTAATATTCCTACATGAATTATGGGCAGCTCCCCATCTAGCAACTTCCCCCAACACCTCTTGCAGCCGCTTCTAGGTATAATGGAATGCCAGACAGCATTCCTCTCTCCTCAACTGCTTCCTTTCCCCCACCAACTCCCAACAAGGAAAGCAACTTCTTAAAAAATGTTCATGTTCAAGACCTCAAAACCACCGCTTTTTAGAGGTCTACATGGGAAAAGAGGCTTATGTGTAACACATGAAAATGCACCAAATGCTAAAGAGATGCTAGAGGCCACAGCAGGCTCCCTTTAGAAGAGAGAGATCTCTTGAAGTCTTCTTCGGCATTAATTGTGGCGCAGCATTATACCTGCACCCAAGTTAACACGTGGGGGGTGGGAAGGGGGGAGGAAGGAATACCTTCAGAAGAATGCAGGGAGCCAGATCTACAGCAGATTTGCAATGGCTAAGCCACGGGTTAAGAGACCAGTGCTGCATCAGCATGAAGCGCAGGAGATCACAAAAGCCAGTTCAGCCCTTGGTCTTGTAGTATGAAAATACAGACGTGTTGGTTTGGGCTGCTGCTAGGACTCATAGTGGGAACCAGCCCTCAGAACCAGCCCTCAGCTGTTTGTATCCCAAGGTCTCCCCACTCCCTGAAACCTGGCAAATGATTGTTAATATTCCTACATGAATTATGGGCAGCTCCCCATCTAGCAACTTCCCCCAACACCTCTTGCAGCCGCTTCTAGGTATAATGGAATGCCAGACAGCATTCCTCTCTCCTCAACTGCTTCCTTTCCCCCACCAACTCCCAACAAGGAAAGCAACTTCTTAAAAAATGTTCATGTTCAAGACCTCAAAACCACCACTTTTTAGAGGTCTACATGGGAGCTGCGGTGGCTCAAGTGGTTAAGACGCTGAACTGCAGGCTGTGGACGGTCGGTAGTTCAGCAGTTCGAGACCCGAGTGTGCCGCATGACGGAGTGAACTCCCGTCTCTAGTTCCAGCTCCTGCCAACCTAGCAGTTCGAAAGCAAGAAACTGCAAGTAGTTCCGTGCGCCTTGGTGTTTAGTCATGCCGGCCACATGACCACGGAAATGTCTTCGGACAGCGCTGGCTCTTCGGCTTTGAAACGGAGATGAGCACTGCAACCCTAGAGTCAGATTCGATTGACTTTCGAGCAAGGGAACCTTTACATTTACCTTACATGGGAAAAGAGGCTTATGTGTAACACATGAAATGCACCAAATGCTAAAGAGATGCTGGAGGCCACAGCAGGCTCCCTTTAGAAGAGAGAGATCTCTCTTCTGTTCCAACCAGGAACAGGCAACCACTGTGCTTACCTGAGGCCAACAAAGCAAAGGCAAAGCCCATTGAAGCAACACAAACCCAGTGATGGCAAGAGTTAAATCAGCACACCAGGCCCAGACATGTGCCAAGGCAAGCAGCTGCCCAAGATAAGGGAACAATCATGCCCCTGTTCATGACTTTCCCCACAGGATCTCGTTTTCCAAGGGATGCAGAAGAAAAGGATTGAGGCATGTGAGTTTTCTTAGCTGCCTCCCTCAAAGGCAGCTAACAAAGCCTGCCATTAGCCTTCTAAACTGAAGATCATTTAGGAGTTCGCCCACAAGCAAACTAAAGTGAGGGGAAGGCAGGGAGGGGCTGGCCAGCCACTTTCTTTCAAACTGCAGCAGTCATCTGGAGGGTGAATCAGAGTTTTAGGCCAAGAACAAAATTCCCTTATATTGCCTAAGTGCTCAAAAGTAAGCCAGCCAACATTTTTTCCTCCAGTCACTGGCAGGAGCACTGGGCCTAAAAAGGAAAAGGGCACACTAAAGTAAGCTTCAGGCTCTTTCACTCATTGAATTCCTGGCTGCAGACAATGAACTGCACACAAATTTTGCAGCATCCATGCAGCATGTGCTTGGGTTTCACTGGCAGACAGGAAGGAACTCAGCTGTCAGCCCAACATCTGAGCTGTGCTTCTGTTTGCTCTTCCTGTCTCCAGGCATAAAGTTCAGGTCTGGCCAGAGGGGCTCAAGCCAAAGACTCTTAGCTCTAGTTTGTGCTGTGCAGCCTTAGACAAGCTGGCCTATTGGATGGAGGACCTGCCCACGATATACCTAGCTATTTTTTGTTTCATTTAAAATTGTACTTTCAAACTATTTTTCAATTGGGGCTCTTTTTTGGGGGGAGGTATTATTAAAATCTGCTGTGAGTCCCTTCTGGGAGAAAAGGAAGGAGCAACTATTTTAAGTCTAACACTGAGCACCTGTAGTTCCACACTCATTTGCAAAGCCATGAAAGCTGCTTGCCCTGAGATATAGTCCCACACTGCCCAGGGTGTGTTGTATGAAGGAATCACATATGTGGTGACCATGTTGGGACTCCTTCCAATGCAAAGGTCAGCCAGTCAATGGAAACAAAGCATGCCACTCCACCCATTAACAGATTGCTGGAGCAGCATGGGGCTGCAGTATAGGGAAGTGCTTCCTCAGCCTTGGTGGGCAAGTATCAATGGGCCCTTGGCAGATAGATAACAGCCAATCACAAGCCAAAAATCAGACACACAACTTGTTACCATAATATCAATCCAAATGGAAAGGTCCAGAAAATTATGTGGTTTGTGTCATCTTAACAGATTTATGCCTGCGTTCTATTGAATGAAATAGTCCTCTGTGAGAGAAAGAGATACAAGATTGTCCCACATGTTACTGGGTGCTCTGGTGATTCTTAAATTAGACAGCTGGCCCAGGGAGGGCTGTCTGATGCAATGTTCTGCTCCCACTCACCACACATACTGGTCACAGAGAAGAGGAAGAGAACGGCTTCCTTCCTGGAACAGACAACTCTTCTCAGCTTCCCCTTTACAGGAAGGCCAGCATCTACTACTGAGAGTTACTGCCAGTCTAACTCAGATTAAGCTCCTATGCCTTCCCCTCCATCTTAAAAATGTTACTCATTTTTTATACCACACTCCTACATGGTGGGGCTTTCAATGGCCTCTGGGGCAGGGAATCATTCAGGCCCACAATTGCTGCATCATACGATTTACGGCATCTCACGCCAATAAGCTTTAACTTGCACGCAACCCTGCTGCTTGCTCACACAACAGAAGGCAGATCATTTCTTCTGGATGAAAGGCCAAGCGCAGAAATGCTTCCACAGCAGTCACAAATTCCCTGGGATCCTGGCTGTCAAGAAGAGGAATCTCATTTGAAAGTAAGAAGGTTAAGCAATTGTCAAGAGTTCCCATCTACACTTACTTAGTGGAGACTAAGAACCCAGGGACTGGTTAATATTTCCAGAAACAACCCCTTCAGACCTTCCTTCCCAACACAGCAGATAGGAAGTAATCCTCTGCAGTGCTTTGCTTTTTAAAAAGGCAAAGAAATGACACAGTAGCACTTTCTTCCTATCAATCCAGAAACCTGGCTGCAAACCACTCTGATGGGGCTGCGCGAAGCCCAACATTTTAAGTGCACTGCCCTATTCTCCAAATCTGGAAAAGCAGGCAGGTTTCGCTGCATCTGTTTAATTACATATTGCATACTCCTTTAAAACACATCTGAGACAGAGCACAACCAAATTAAGAAATTCCAGTATAAAAATAAAAATATGCAGTTAACATACTAAAACCACAGTTTCCTGTGATGGAAGAAAAGCAAAAAAAGAGCTAAGCGCGCACACACACACATATACAGCAACAGCAGCCAGGGAATTGGGAAGAAGAAAAATCAATATCCGAAATACCTGAAGAAAACACAAGTTTTTATTTGGCACCTAGAATTTCATGAATGTTAAGCTGGGCAATAATAGCAATGCAAGGCTGGGCTTACAGATGTCCACATCTGGCAATGGATGATGTAACAAATACCACCAGCAACTTTTTAAAAAAAGAAAAAGGCAGCTGAAATTTCACAACAGCACAACTTTTCAAACTACATTCACAAACTTTTGCATCACCGGAACTAATTTACG